CCACCTTCGCACTCTCCTCCAAGATCCCGACACACCCACCACCAATGGACACTACATCCTCACCTTGGACCAACTGCAACTCCCACCACACCTCACCATCTTCCTCAACGCCAACATGAACAGCACCTACTACCCCAGCAAGGCCCGCTACTTCCTCACTTTTCAAACAGCATACACGAAGTGGCTCAAGCTCCAAGGGCTACCACCATCCCTTGTACAGCACTTGGAACCTTTCCTTGCACACCAATGGCGCCTCCACAACACCCATCTCAAACAACAACCCCGCTTCACAGCTCGTTTGCTCCGTCAACTCCAAGAATTTCTCGGCCCACATACAGTACTTCACCATGCTGACCATGAACTACAGCAACTCCGACTGTTCTGCCCCCGTCAGTATTTCACCGGAGCTTTGAACACATGGCAATCCCCTGAACTTTTTGAACCACTTCCTCACCTTACAGCCGCCAACATCCACGACCATCTCAAGGCCACCGTCCCACCCCTGCTTCGCACCCGCTACAAGTGGGGCTTCCGCAAGGAGTTCAACATTCCCTATGGGGTGGTTCACCTCAAGGAGAAAAAGCACTGGCAGAAAGGCCGCACCATTATCTCATACTTTCATTCACTTACCGGCAACCTCCTTCGTATCACCAGCCGTGCCCTTGACATTATACTCCAACACCTCTACCCGCAACATCCAGGACAACTTTCCATCCCACAGCTCTGGCACCACTTCCACAGCTACCTCGCCCAAACACCAGCGGACATCTCCCTACACGCCACCAACGACGACCTGGTGGGTTTCTTCAACTCGGTTCCCCAGCATCGATTGATCGATGCAGTTCACTCCATGATTCACCACTGGCAACAACAACAATCCACACACACACCCTCACAGTGGATGTCCACGCCACCGGCAACCCCTTCCACCACTCCCACATCGGCAGACACCACCAGAAACATCCCACACAACGCACGATCCAGACCTCTGACATTACTACCATTGTCGCCTATGCACTCAACACCTGCATTTTCCGGGCTTGCAATAACACCTACAAGCAAATCCGAGGAGCTGGGATTGGCTCCCAACTCTCTCCAGCCCTTTGCAATGTCGCCATCACACTCATTAAACACTCTTGGCGCCAAATTCACAACAACCTACTTCAGCACACGGACCTACACTTTACCTACTACCGCTACGTTGACAACAGATTCATTGTCCACAAAGAGCACTTCCTCCGCCACCCAGCCATTCAAACCCTTATCCACCACAACTTCTTTGGGGACCCAGTGGAACTTGAACCGGTGGATGACTTTCACCTCCTGGGTTTCAACATTGACCTCCAACAACGCACCATCACCTACATACAACCTTCCCAACCCTGGAAAATCAGGGATGCCACCACCGCCGGGAGCCAGCGCTTGGCTCTGTCAGGCCTCCAATCCAGACTTCACACTATCCACAAATACACCTTTCCACCCTCAAGCGCTGACGCTGCTGCCGCCGAGCTAGTGAGGCTCTATGTCCAAAAAGGACACAACCAGTTAGCTTGCCACCGTTTTTTGAAAAAAGCTCCGATCACGGCGATCTGTGTGTGTCACACCCTGGGCAAAGGGTCCTCCACAGCTGACTTCCCACTTTCTCCACCGCTTTCTACCGCAATAGAAGATTCCACCAGCAGGGGGCTCGTGGACGCATGGATGGCACGAGCCACCCCTGCGTACTTGTAGCCGGTGGGCGTGTACTCGCCACCAAAGGCATCTCGTCGACCGACTGGGCGCGCGCCATGGCCCTTCTCCCGGGCCTTTGCCTGCTGAGCCTTTTGCGACGACCACCAGGGCTTGCCGCCCTTCTCCTGCTGCTGATCGCCACGGCTGCTGCTGCTGGCATTCTTCTTGCGCGCCCAGCCGCCCTTCCCCTTGCCCACCTGCTTGACACTGTCTGGGTAATGCTCCCATGGTGCCTTCTCCCAAGGGGGCTTAGCCTTCACCCGCTTGGTATTCAACGCTCGCTCCATCTCAGCGTCCTGCTCACGCTCCTCCACCTCCTCATACTCATCCGCTTTCTCCTTCACCCCATCCGCTGGCTCCTCCACCTCCTCAGCTGCCTCCGGCTCATGAGCCGGCTCCTGCAGCTCATTCGCTGGCTCCTGCAGCTCATCATCCACTCCATAGTGCTCCTCCTCCTCCTCCTCCTTTTCATCTGACACCACCTGCGCCTCGCGCTCTCCAGCAGCCACACCCTTCTCATTCGCCCGCTGCCGCTTCCAGGGCCTCTCCACCGCCTCGCTCTGACCCTTCTTCAGCTCGATCATCTCCACCCCCTCCTGATCGGCCTGCGCTCCAGCGCCATCGAGCTCTCCTTGATCGCGCGCTCCTTCATGGCCTCGAAGCTCCAGTATTGCCTCCGTGTCTCACGCGCCTCCTGGTCTGGATTGTGGGAGTGATGACACTGCTATTGTACAACATGACCATGAAACTACAACATTACAATGAAGAAACTACAACACAACCAACACAGGTTCAGAGGACACTCTCTAGGAATGACGCGGCCATCACAAAGCATTTATTTGCCAGAAAATGCAAAGACTTGAAAACATTTTCGCTGTGTTGAACCATATCCCCAAACCAGTCCTCCTGCTTGCGCCTCAGCCACTCCCACGGTGGCCGGTGGTCGTTGGGGGTCAGGGTCACCAACCGCACCTTCTGAGGAGTCCCCCAAACCATTTCCCTCTGCCGCTTCCAGCTGCCGCGCGCTGACCGCTTGCGAGTGCATTTCAACAGGATGTTCAACAATACTTTGTTGCGGACTCATGCACCTTGCCGTTCCTTCACCTTCCTTCTCAACGTGGGAACAGAGTTAACTGAATACAATTGTCAGAGTGTGTCTGTGTGTGCGTGCTTCTGTGGCTGTTCCGCCAAATTAATCACTTTCGTCTCTGTTCACATGCTTTAGTGTGGACATGCAGTTGAACAAACACATGAATGAATGTGTTCTGTTTTCCAACATCCCCATGTCATTTTGAGGCTGAAGTGGTTAGAAAGAGATGCCAGTTGAAAGTAATATGAAGGTGTTGCTTATGCGCGGCTTTTTCCATGCGGTCGATTTCGTCGATCCGCTCCCACATCGAGGCACCAATGACCCAGGCTGCGTGCAGCGCCACATGGGGCCGCACGTGCGCGAGAAAGGCAAAGGCCACCGACTCGGGGACCTGGCCGATGTTAACGCGAAAACGGAAACGACACCTTTTTTGGACCGAAAACACAGCATCACGTTTCTTGGTTACAGAAACAACACCTACCATGTCCCTACCGAAACCGAGTTTTGCAGTGGTGCTTCTACCTAAGGTGTGAGCCGAATTGTATTTCTCTTAATAAAATCCGGCTCATTTCAAGCACCTATTCAGAAATGTCCATCCCGAAAGTCAAGAGAAACTGGCCACCAATGAGGATTACCTGCAGTCGTTCGGAAATCCGAAACCTGTGGGTCACCATGGTTCAGGCCTGCGCAAAGCCGATCGTGACGCCCAGCAAGATTTCCTGACACCAACTGTCGGTGCACCCTTCACCAGGTGAACAAGGGGCATTACTAGTATAGTAAGAATGCTCCTAGTAGCGTCCTTGCTCCTAGTTGTGCCCTAAGAATCTGAGAACTTGAATTCCCAGTCAAACACCAATCGCAAGAAACCTCAACCACCGCAAATCTACAAACATATTGAAACACTTTGTTATCATGGAGCATATCCTTAGTGACATAGCTGGCATTGAGCCCTTCCAATGTAGTGAGGTCGGCAGGCAGGAAGCGGCCACCTGAAAGCATCACGAATTGGAAACTTTGGGAATAAACCTGGACTGTCGTTGATGCAAACGTCCCGTTCAAAAACCCCGGCCTAAACCAAACCACCCACCAGGTGCTGCCACACTCCGGGCAGATCCTCAGGGAACACTGAGGTTCAGGCCTGACATGAAAAAGAACCACCTTCTCGCTACTAGGGGCTCCTGGCCTTACTACTAGGAACAAGAGGACGCTACTAGGGGCTCCTGGCCTTACTACTAGGAACAAGAACGCTACTAGGGGGTCCTGGACTTACTACTAGGAGCAAGGACGCTACTAGGGGATCCTGGCATCGCTGCTAGGAGCAAGGACGCTACTAGGGTCTCCTGGCCTTACTACTAGGAGCAAGGACGCTACTAGGGGATCCTGGCATCGCTACTAGGAGAAAGGACACTACTAGGGTCTCCTGGCCTTACTACTAGGCGCAAGGACGCTACTAGGGGATCCTGGCATCGCTACTAGGAGCAAGGACGCTACTAGGGTCTCCTGGCCTTACTACTAGGAGCAAGGACGCTACTAGGATCCTGGCATTGCTACTAGGAGCAAGGACGCTACTAGGGGCTCCCAACACCCGCGACATTTGACATTTGACCCCTTCACCTCTTCTCCTCGTTCGAAGACTCGCACCTTGCGGCTGGCCTCTGTACCCACAGTCCTGCAGCATCACGCTACACTGTTACACCAAAGATTCGGGTTGCCATCATTGACGAGCAACAAAAAATAATCCCCTCCACCTGTCACATCCTGTCAGGGTCAGTTCTTGGAAACACGTTTAATCTGTTGGAAAACTGAAGGAGGTTGACGACCTGCCATCACAGGTGAATGCTATTGAAAGCCCTCCAAGACTACCTCTTTCAACCACCCCAATCAGAGTGACACAAAATGCTGTAGCAACTCTAGAAACTCTGAAAAGCAAAACAATTGGGAAAACACTACACAAGACAACACAACACATCTTCACATACAAGAGTGCATCAAAGCCATTGAGCCTGCAGCTGGTTTGGGACACAGGGGCGTCCGCCATTGCAATCTCAATCCAGTTTGCGCTATGTGGCGTTTGAGCAACTGTGGCAGCACGTCTCATATTCCATTTGGCGTCGTTGTCGAGTTTCTGACTGAATGATAACTGTGGGCTTTGTAGAAAGGGTCACCTTGTGTGTCACACATCACCACTGCCCCAAACAAACCTGATGTGATTTCACTTTGTAGGCGAGTCTTTGTCCTGCGCTTGGTTTGCCGGCTGCCACCAACCCAACTCAGATGTTTTTGCCGGCCTTCACGCCCTGTTGGTGCAGCGTGGTGCTCATGGTGAAATGCTGCATTTGAGATCGCAGCAGCGCACCTCAAAGTGCGTGACACGGACTACACGGAATACACAAACCAACTGCATTACCATAAAGGCCCTATGGGAAAGTTCCAAAAGAAGTTGCTCGCATTCTTGCACTCAGTCATTCTTCCATATTCTCCTCCCACATTGAACTTAACCCCTTCCTGTCTCCGACGCAAAGCTCTTACTTGCATAGTCATGTCCACAGACTCATAGACCCAACTTGACAGGCTCAGAGTGAAAAAGGCAGGCAGCAGAGGGGAAGCAGCGTGTGATCGTGGTGTGGTGTGGTGGTGCGGTGATGTGATGTGGTGATGGGTGGCGGCGGCGGTGGCGGCGGTGATGTGCACGGCGGTGATGCGGCAATAGTGATGATGTGGTGGTGATGGTGGACGCCCTTTGCGATCTGTAAGGTGCGCTGCTTTTGGCGTGCACCCACACAATCAGTTGGAGGCTTCTACAGCAAGGTCGGCAAAGGCATGATGTTTGGCCGAGGCATCTTGTGCAGCATGACGGCTCGCAGTTGAAAAAGAATTTGGGAGTGCGGCGCACGCCCCAAACCGTGCAAAACCATAGCAATGCACATGTTGCGCCCGTGCCATTGCATTGGCTTCAGACCTTTCGCGTGAGCGCAAGGGACAGGAACAGCATTGATGTTTGGCTTGCCATTCAAAATTAGCTTTGCATATCATATAATGAGTTGTATCCTTTTTCTGTCCTTGCTCAACTCGTTGGGTCGGATGCACCGAATCTTAGTGATAACTTGAGGCCTTAGAGACCTGGATTGTTACGCACACGCACACGCACACACACACACACAATAAACACTACCGCCAAGCAAACAGCGTTCGAACCCATCCGTGGCACAAGGTACCCCCATTGCCCCCGATCTGGGAAGTTGCGGGTTGTAACAAAGTTCGACTTGCTCTTCCCAGGCTTTTAGCTATTCTCGTGCATTCGGGGGATGGCATGAAGGTCAGCCTCCATCAAGAATCAAAGCAGGAAAAATGTCATGGCTTCGCGGCCTCAGCCCAAACTCTCAAAAGATCTCAAAAGTACGTTTTAAGCAACAAGATGTTCAAGAATGCAGAATACGAATGTCTTGCCATTTGCCACGTGTTTGCCTCACAAAGTTGTGCATTTTCCGCAAGGATCTACCAGAGGCTTTCGTTCTTTAAAGTCAACCATAGCCATTAGATGCCATAAGTACAAGCCTGCACCCAAGGCGCTCCAGCACTCTGCTTTGAGATCGTTGGAGACATCCAAGCTTAGGGTGATCTTGCCACCCTCCACGTCCTCCTGCAGCTCCAGGAAATCGATGCTAGATGCTGTGAGACAAGTGCCGAGATCTGCATTGGGATTGGAAATCAGCTCTTTGTGAGAAGGACGGAAGAAAAAATACTGTATGTTTGTTCTTGCACCACCAGCCAATCACCAGCTGTGAACTCTCATCTTCCATCCTGGATTGCCCCTGTGCACTCTTATGTCGACAAGCGCAAGGAGTGCAACTCACGCTTATCTTGCTCACAAGAACAACATCAAACCCTTCAGTTGAAAAGTACCAGCTCAAGCTAATCAGCTAATCACGGGTCCCATCTCACCAGGGGCTCCCAACTGCTTTGCACAGGGAGAGGCACACTTTGGGTTGGAAGAGCTGTCGACACCTCAGCCACGCGTGCATCGGCAATGATTTTGCAGTGTGCAAGCATCTGCAAGCCAAAAGTTGCAAACGCAGGTTCCCAGAAGAAGCAAGAATGGAACTATTTTGTTTGCGCGGTTTTCGCAAAGCGAGAGCTGAAAATCCGAGAAGTCAAACATGTCCAATGTCCACCTTTGAAGGCTTCACCATCTGCGGCCCCACCCGTCGCTCATGTTCTGCTCCAAGTCTGCAGGGGAGAAGCCTGACACTCAGGTCTTTGGTGTACCAAATGTACGGTGCATTCCAGTGCCATCATGTCACCGACCATGTAACGTGCTTTTGGAGTGAAAGGCTGGAGCCCAACTTCACCGGGGAATAACTCAGCCTATGGGAAGTGGGAAGTGGAGGCCCCCCATGCCATGCAGATCGAACCAAGTAGTTGGATCAGTTATACAGATGATAAACAACAAAAGCTGATCACCCAAGAACAGTTTTCACATCTCTTGCTGTGTAGCTGCTGCGCAAACAACTTTGACGCTCTGTACACTGTACATAAAAGCATCCAGAGGGTTGGAAGACTGATAAAATCCAAGCGTAGTGGCATAGCTTTCGTAGCTGCACTTAACTGCCACCACTTGTTCTGGTCTCACTGTCGCCAAACCATGCGTTTTTGGCCAAACTGCCGGGCATCAGGGTGTTTTGAGTTTCTGCGCCTTTTCTGAAGCTCCTTCCAAGACCTTTGAATGTATCGTTCATGGGAAGGTCTGGCAAGGTCAAGGTTTGAGGCTCCTTCGGGAGCAGTGCCTCAAGCATCTCCAAGTGGACCAGAGCAGCTTGCCGAAGTGCAGGCCCCACACGTTTCACACACGTCCCGCAGCGTTGCTGTTCGGCAGCAACTCCTTTCTCTCGAACACGAACGCTTCAGGGCGATAAGAACAGATACTACACAAGTGACTTCAATCCAATCTATACACGTCACATCTATGCGCATACCGGGATGTAAAAATGGTTAACACCCCGCCTTGATGCAAAACGTTCTAGTTTATGCATCACTCTTTTCTACAATCGTGAGATCTACCATCGTCAAGGTAGAAGTGAAAAGGTCTCTCACGAATGCTTGTACAGCTACCCATCGTAGCTATCGTTCCGGCGTCTTTCGACACAATTTCGAAAAATGTGTTTTGCCAATTCTTTCGATACGTGGTTCAGTTGGTTCACGTATCTTCCTCTGTTTGTCAAAATTGTATTGCGCGCATCTGTCAACAAATTCGCTCGTTGTGCACTTATACCGTGGTTCAGATGGTTTCACGGTATTGGAACATAAATGGTCCTGTGGTTCAGACGGTTTCACAAGCCACACCAAAAGAAATGTATTGTAAATTTGAAACTCTGCAAATCTGAAATCTGTAAATCAATTGCCATCATCTCTGTTTGGATTGCTTGCGTCATCATCATCATCACTGCTAAAATGATGTAGTTCCTGCCAATACTCCGGATCACTCACTTCTTCAATTCCAGCATAAATATACCTCATCCTTCTGCGCGACTCTGTCTCGCTGTCTTCAACTTCTGCACCATCGTCACCCTCATCATTCTGTTGGTCTTGTCCTGCCGAGGGCATAGCTAAACTTCGCCCTGGCAAACTTGATGAGGTAAAATATCCATCACCTGAATCAAGCTCTGACCTAAACTGTTCATCTCTGCTTGTCCATCCCGTGTGACTGCTCGATGCTGTTCCACTGAACTGTTGTCGTAGCTGCATCCCAACGCTTTCATCTTCTGGTTCTGGCGCCGGTCCAACATAACAATGCGTTGCAATGCTCTCATGTTCTGGTTCTGGATCCTCCTCCACTTCCGGTCCTGCAGATGAACCTGAATCCGGTGAAAGATCTGTCATACCACGACACATCATATGCGCTCTTCTTCTCACACCTTCGCTGTGGTTCTGCTCAAGGATACCTAGCTGCATCTCCAAAATGTCCCGTCGATGATTGTACCTGAGCAATGTATTGTGATCCATCACCTGTCCCCGACGTTGCAATCTTCTGTTGACTCTTCCCAACATAAAATATAGGAACCACTCAGGAGACCAAGGATCCCACCGTGGCGGTGGGTCTATCGGGATGGGCGAGAATTTTGGCGCTCGCGGTGGAGGACCCCTTGGTGGGGATGTGCTCGGAGGTCTCGGCTCTGAACTCGCACTTGCTTGTCCTTCAACTCCCAACTCTTCAACTTCAACATCTGAAGATTCCTGTTGCTCTCCAGCATCTTGTCCTTGTCCTTCATCTTGCCTTTCAACATCTCTTTTTCTCTTTCTGCCCCGCCTGTCTAGCATCGTCTGCAACAATGTCTGCAACACATCCCAATGCGAGAAAACAAAATTGCACAATGCAATGATTGCCAATACAACCATGGTCAATGCAACCTGCTGCCAACTGTTCTCATTGTTCTCAACTGGTTGCTGTTCGTCATTGTCCATGCAACCTTTCATTCCGAAAACACTCAATGCCATGGCCACCTGCAAAATGCTTCTGTTTGCTTTGCTCCGAGTCAATCTGCTGATCCCTTGGATCTGTACCTTCAATGCTTCTTCTGTCATATGTTCAACAACTTCTGTCTCACCCCCTGCTTCTTGTTGTCCACTCTCTTCGTCAAACCTGGTCGCACCCAAAAAGTATAGCAAGAACCGTTTCCTAGTTGCTGATAGCTTCTTGGTGTTTAGATCACTCACGTTCAGCTTTGTACCAATTGGCGCCACCTCCAATACCTTCTTTTGAATTGCACTCTGCAACCAACACAACCTAATATCAAAATGTTTGAGTCGTCCGACTCCTGATCTGGCCAACCATTGTCGTCCACTTGAACTGTCGCTTCTGGCCACAACCTTGCAAGCCGTCTGTGAAAGAAACTCCCAAATTGTTCTCAACAATATTCCTTCACTGCAACCTGCTGTCAATGCAAGAACCTCACTCTCACATGAGCTAAGGGCGATCGACTTCTGAGTCCTTGGAAATGATGTAACCAACACTGAATCAAGGAAGATCATACATGCGGCGGCGCTCTTTCTTCCAACGACTCCTGCCCAATCTGAATCGCAAAAGATCTCCAACAAATACTCTTTGCTTGAACCTTCGTCTGTTCGACCTGTGTGCAAAATCCTTGCCAAGCTCGTCCCTGCTTCAACATATGGCAACTTGAACACCCAATCTCTTGTACCAGCTAGATACAAAATCAACTGTATCAACGCTTTCTCTGCCTGCTGAGTTGGACACTTCATCGAACTTGCCAATGTCTTCACGCAATATTGGACGTCAATTCTGTCTTGTCCTAAATACATAGCAACACCCAGTCCGCTCCGGAACAACGATTGCTTCTGCTGATCAAGTTCTTCTGAAAAATCCATCCTAGCAAGCTATGCTCTGGCACCTGTTTGTACTTGCGATTGTCAACATCGTATAGTTTCAACAAACTCTCAATGTATTTCTTGTTGGGCTTTACCAAAATACCCTCTCCAGTGAACACATACGTCTTCTTCAAATAACTCAGCTCTTCGCCAGCTCCTGTGGACCCTGTAGGGAATGGTCCTTCAACCTGCACCTTGAACTTCTTCTTCAGCTCACCAATGAACCAATGAGCTTCTTCCATACTCTCAGCTGCCACCAGTTCGTCATCAACATGAATATTGATGACCACCTTGCGGGATTTGTGGCGCATCACCGATGGCATTGCGGCGCACTGCAAGAAACCTAAACCTTTGAGAAACTCTGAAAAATGATTGAACCAACGCTGAGCTCCGTTTCTCTGAACAGGCAACACTCTCCTCAACTCCCATAAATCATCTGTTGCCAAACCCAAAAGCTCTTTGATCCAACCACGAATCTGTACATAGCAAGCTTCCTGCTGAGGCACTATGAGATAGGCATCACTCACATCTTGTGACCACACCTTCCACCTGAACACTAGGTGGAATAGCAAAAAGAAACAAATTGCTCCTCCTGCCGATGTCGGTGAGAAAGTCTCTGAGGTACTTGGCCCTGTCTTGAAACCTCGAGCCACAATTCTGCATCTTCGCTTCCAACGATCATTCCTGTAACTCCAATCGAACACCTCCTTTAGATCAACAAACTTTCCGTCCGGATCTCTACTGCTATCCTTCACGACCTTCACCACGTCCATACTTGTCAACTTGCTCACCTCCTCCTTCATTGCTTGTTTGTCCAAATCTGCAAGATCTTCTGCCGACAAATCAGGAGGTTGCTCACCATGACACATGTCATCAACAATGCCCCAATCAATGCTGTCCCAATCGACGTTTTCTTCCCAATGTTCATCGTCGTCAGGCATCCTCAACTCAACCTGTCCTGCATAGAAAGGGGAATAGAGACCGCTCAACATAGGGCTTGTCTCTCTCTTGGGAACTTTCCGACTCTCCTCCTGATCGTCTTCATGTTCTGTCTCTCGTTTGTCAGCTGTTGATCTCAACTCTGCGTCCTCTCGTTCCAATGCTCTTGAAGGAAGTCCTAACAATTGACGTCTTGCTTCTGTACCCAATGGTTGCAATTCTTCCTGGTCTAACACTTCTTGTCTTGCTCTCTTAGGGACAGGCCATTCCAACTCAATGACCTCTTCATGCCTCTCTTGTAGCTCATCTTGTTGTGGTGGCTCGGTGGGCTCATACTCCAACTGTCCAACATCATGCAAAAGACCCATCACTTCTGCTGCTTCCTGATCAATTTCTCCAGTGGCCAACAACGGAATTTCACCTTCAACCTTTCCTTCCTTCGACTCCTCGATGATCGGCACTGGGGCTTCCAACAAACCAATCGGTCTTCCACCTTTGCTTTTGCTCCATGGTGAATCCAACAGTGATGCAACCACGTCTGCTCGCCATGGATTGGCACACCTCCTAATCGACCTTGTATGAATGGTACCGCCCGCAGTCAGTAGTACATTCATATCTGTACCATCCTTGCCAACCCAAACACCTCCAACCCACACAGCTGTGCCCTGCACCTTTGCGGGCTTTCGAAGTCCAAAAACGAACTCCCCATATGGCAAAATCTTCCCAACATACTTCTTGCCATGTAACAGCTCATACGGCGTCGACTTGATTGCTGTGTGTTCATGAAACCTGTTCAACAAAAACACTGCATGCACCAACGACCAAGCTCGAAGTCAATGTGTCTCACTCAACAAGCCAACATGCTTCTCAACGCTCAACATCAATGTAGTTGCTTGTCGTTTCACGCTCTGGGTGTACCTCTCAACACGCGCCGTTCTCCCTTTGTGGTATGGTTTACCAAACTTCTTGACCGCCTTGTATCCCATCTGTTGTCGAATCGTGATTGCCATGTCAAGCAACCCAACTGTCGCCGGTTCACTGTCCATCACAAAAACAACCTCTTGCAAATGATTCATCTCCAGTGAAAACTTGACAATTGCTTCAGCCACCGACTTGTACACACCTTTGGATGGTGCTGGGACAATATTGCCAAACCTGGTATTGCAGTCCAACATAATCAACGCGGGACACGATCTTCCCAAGAACACCCAATCCAACTGAATGCGCGGTACACCTGTGTCTTGCTCAATGAAATCTGTGTTCGACAATGTCCTGTCCTCACGGGATTTGGCCTGAATGCAAAAGTCACACCAACCTGCAAAAGGAAGATGAGTTGCCATGTGTCTCTCAACTTCAATGGGATCTTCTTGAATCTCAGGCTTTGAAGGCTCCAACACCGGACGAGGTCCTTGAAGCTGCTGCTGTAGATAGTTCTGCGAGGAATCAACATCCTTTTGATATCTGCTCTCAAAATAGTTGTACAACCTGTCTAGCAACTTCCGTTTTGCCCCGCCTCCGTTCAAGCCTAAAAATGAACAAGCCTCTCTGAGTTCCTTCAATGTACTGGCCATCGTCAACTCTTTACCTGCAACCCACACAGAATCTGGGCTCTCCACATGTCCACCTGCTGTTCCACCATGCACCAACTCCGGGGCACTTGTCAACTCATAGGGAACCGCTTCTTCTGGCGGAAAACTTCTGAATCAACGTGCACATGCAATTGAGGATCCGGCTCCCTCGAAGGAATTGACTTGGTCGACACATGCAAGAACTCAATGCTTCCATCTTTCTCTGTGGAAATGTCAACACCCATGTTGCAAACAACGCTCCAGGAATCGGGCCTGCCAAAGTGCTCAACACTGAAAGGTCTTGCGAATGTTCGATCACCTCCCAAGCGTCGCCTATCAGTGCAATGGTCGTCCGAAACTTCCACTCATCTCTCGACAAGGCCGCTGCTGGATCTGTGAAATTTGTAGTCCTTGCTCGATGAACCGGGCTTCCGCTCGACAAAAACTGCCAACCTTCTTTCACCTCATTCAAAATATCACAATCAAACACAACATGCACTCCTCTCACAACTCCACTGCATGCTTCATGAACCTGCTTTGTCACCTTTCTCACATGTCCAAACACGCTCAGACTGTTCTTCCTGAAAAACACGGGCATGCCTGTCTGGCGACGAAAGGAGTCCTGCGCACTCTTCACCTGCTTCGTCAGAAAATCGTTTTCGATTCTCGTTGGTATCTCTTCAAGAAACCAACCTGACTTGAGCATCCTCCCAAATGAAATCAACACATGTTGAACATCTGAAACCACGAAAGCTTCATTCAAACAACACATCGACTCTTCTGGAACTCCATTCAAAAACTCAACCTGCGCTTCTCTCATCCCCCCAACTCTGAGGGGACTCCCCTGAGCATCCTCCAAAAGAAGCTGCGGAGTCTCAACCTCACAACCAACGTCCACACGACTGGAAGGAATCAATGACACATCTGCTCCTGAATCCAAAACAATCCATTCACCTTCACAAGATTGTTTCTGCTCAACTGTACGGGCAAAATGAACATCTCTTTGAGGCTCAACCATGCTACTGCCATTGCACAGCCATTGATAGAACGGGTCGTCTGTCAAAAAGCTAGCGTCAACACCACACGACATGTCCTCTTCGTCCCTCAAATCGAAAAGCTCTGGCATGGAAATCAATGTCACTGTTCTGACATTCCAAGCTGTCCAATCATCATTGTCCGAAGCCTCAGACAAAGCGAACAACTCTGGTCTCTGACTTGTCGGTGTACCAACATGCCACACATTGTTCCTGCAAGGTTCTTTCATGTCATACAAAGAACCTTGTCTGACTTGTTGTCATCCACCGGTTGTTGAAGCTGCTGTACTTGATGCTCCAACACTCTTGTATGCTGTACTCCCAACAACCGAAGGAGCAACTGTTGACCTCTGGTCACTCTCCTGCCGGACTTCTCGAACTCCACCATCACGATCAGGGCACTCATTACCCCAATGTCCAGCTCTTCCACAAATTCGGCACCGATCCGAATTCACCTTGCCTTTACCTTTCGACTTGCTCTTGCCACCTTTCTTGCCTTTGGCTTTCGATTTGCCTTTGTCTTTTCCTTACCTTTCACTCCACGACCTTTCGACTTGCCTTTCGACCAGCTACCCCAACCAGTCCAGTTCGTCCAGCTCCATGAAGTGTCTTTGCCCTTACCTTTCTTGCCTTTGCCTTTACCTTTACCTTTCTGTTCACCGCATCCACCTCCATAGCCACAGGTCCGTCAGTGGTCTTCGTCGATGGTCTGTCGTTCAACTGCTTCATCACATCACCTGCTGTCCAAAAACGGGATGATCTTTCATATGCAAGAATTTTCTCCTTCACTTCAGCATAACTTGTACCTTCGTTCACACTCAATGTCAAATGCTGTCGAACGCTGTCTGGACATGCCCGTAAAAGAACTCCCAACAAAATGTCACGATCAAATTGCTTTGTACTGAGTTGGTCATACTGATTCACAAGCAACTCCATGTTCATGATCTGTTCATGCAATGTCTTGCCACCTGATGTACTGAAAGTTGGAAATGAACTGATTGCTTGTGACAATGCTAGCGCTCGTTGCCTTGTATGCGGTGCAAAATGATCTGTCAATGTTTTCCACAGCTGAAGCCCATTGCGACTCTCCGAAATGCCTCGTGAGATCTGAAGCACTGGCCCCTTCAAATACGAGGTCAGGATAGCGTACAACTTGTACGCCAGGTCCCAATCCGACGTGCTCCAGCCTGTGTCCTCCACAACGTCATCTGTACCAAGCTTCTCGACCTGTTGAATGCTTTGGAGGAACGTTGACTCTGCATATGTCAGCCAATTGAGAAATGAATGTCGCCATGAAATCCAACTCCCAGCATCTGATGCATCAAAATACTCTGGATTCTTTAATATCCTGGCTGCTGGTTCAAGTCCTTTGGCAACACCTGCAGCTGAACTAGAGGCCGACGATGCTCCTGCAACTGCCTCCTTCAACATCTCTGGAATCGAACCTGCAAGATTTGTTGTTGCCTGTCCAAGTACTTGCTGTCGTTGAATGAACTTACCAAAACCTTCCATGAACTGTGCAAATTGCTGTTGGTCCATACCCTGAACACCGTAGCCACTTGCAAGAAGGGTCATGAAAAACACACCACGCTTGTTCAACTGCCACCGATGCCGCGCAACCTTCAATGTACCAGAAACATGCTTCTTCTTTTGAACCCCTCGTCTGCATCTCAACGACCTAAGGCCCAAGCGTTCTGTTGCTGCAATCAATGAACTGCCGACTGTCCAACTGCATGGGATGCATGCTATTGCTGCGCAACTTTCAAGGAATGAAATACCATCAAACCCTTCCAAGTTCACTACGTCCCAAGCTCTTTCACATCGACTCAAAATTGTGCAAGCAACCACAACTGCCTGTACCACCAACGTAATGTATGTTGTACAATGTAATGCACAATGCTCAACAACAAAAATCTCAAACCACCAAATCACGCGAAAGAAAACATCTGCCAGCAGTGCATGGGCGGTCCTCATCAATCCTGCCAGCATGCAAAGGGCCCCAATCCCCTGAGCGCCTCCCCAGGCGCTTTGGCCTGGATCTTCAGCGCTCCGCTACCATGTTAGGCAGCAACTCCTTTCTCTCGAACACGACGCTTCAGGGTGATAAGAACAGATACTACACAAGTGACTTCAATCCAATCTATACATGTCACATCTATGCGCATACCGGGATGTAAAAATGGTTAACAGTTGCACTTCATGCGCATCTGCCGCTTTGGCTTCAGGCGTGGCAAAGTGGTGATGTCCTAAGACTGCGATCCCACCGGAATCCTACCTGCCTGCTGAACAAATGGAACATTTTTCGCTCCAGGAAGTCGCTGCGCAGAGCTGGTGAGAGTCACTCTTACTGGCCCGCACAAGCCAGCGACTAGACACGACTAAAGTGGGTGATGACAGCTGATGAAGATCGCTGTTGGCTGTTGATTGCAAATGTTTGATCTCTTTCCCACCTGTCTTTATCTCCCATGCCCCAGCAAGCCGCAAGCCCTTACTCATTGTCCAACGCAAACAGGCAGCCTGGGTTTGCTGCCTCGGGCGGATCCAGGGTGATCCAGGTCCTCAGCTTAGATCGCAGAAACAGAAAAAGTAACGATGAACAACGGTCAAAAGCTCAAGGATTGTAATTGAAGACGCACAGTACCCTTCGCCAGGCCATTTACAACGTTCGCATGAAAAGTTTTCTGAGATTCCACACTGGTAGAGCATTTTCAAGCCAAGAGCTCTCAGGTGTGCCATTGGAAGCCTGTCCAGTCAGAGATGTGGCAAGACTGACAGGGGGTGTATGGTAGAGGGCAGGAATGGCAACATTCCGCGCTGGCCTGAGCTCCCCTAAAGCCCGCCGGTCACCACCGTTCCGAGCAACCTCCTCATTGGGAGCCGCCTGAAGTGACTTTTGAATGGAATTCTGAGACCGCAAAAAGGTTAGCAGGCCAGCTTTTGTTCAAAAGAAAGCTGAATATCTTACAAGTCACCACTGCAGTGCAATCTGCGTGTGACTCAAGGTGGTTTATTGCAAGTTCACGCGTGGAACTTGGGCAACTTGGCTCACTCACAATGATTCATCTGGAGGCATCCGGCCCACGCACGGAGCTGCAGGATGGCCTCCTGCTTCACCGCCCTGGGGCTGAACAAGCTTTGCTGGATTTGGCCATGCGGGCAGCGTATTGGGTCATATTATACAAACACATAGTAATCCTGTCGTGTTTACAATTACAATGCACGCGGCAAAGGTTCTGTTCCGACTGTCCCCCAACAGAGACGCTCAGGGGTCTTCAGCCATAGCGCATCATATAGGGCAAGTCGGAGCGGTCTCGGAGCAAGGTCAAGAGCAAGTTCCGGAGCAGGTTCTGGAGCATGTTTCCAGAGCACGTTCTTCCGGAGCAGGTTTCCAGAGCATGTTCCGGGGCAAGTTCCGGGGCAAGTTCGAGAGCAGGTTCAGGGGCAGGTTCCACGGCAGGGTCCGGAACAAGTTCCGGAGGTTGTCCTTCAACACATAAAAACTATACAGACTGTCCAAAGCACGGTGCAGGAAGGTGAAGTCTACAAAGGGTGACTGACGCGCCAAACCAAAAGCACACCAGTCAACAGCCACGCGTGGAAAAACCCAGCGCTGCTGACTGGGCCACGCAAGAGGCAAAAGTCCAAAACCCGCCGACACCAGCGCTCCCGCAAAGGGGGAAGTGGGAGTTAGCAAGGTAAGAACCACTTTGGGCGAGTAACCCTAGTTAGAATGGAAAGCAGAATTCTGTAAAGGGAATGTCTACACAAAGGAGTCAAAAGGGAAGAAAGAAAGAACCCCCGGCTCAACTGGAAGAGTCGGCAAGCTCTGCTCTCCGGCTGCGGATGACAACGGACAGTTCTTGCAGGAGGTCTGCGTGGAGGGCAGCAGCATCCTCCCCAGTTCGAGCTGCCGTGCCTCCGGGAAAGTTGCAGGAGCAGTTTGCTGGCTTCCAGCTCCCAGGCGCCCGTTGGCTCGGCCACAACCCAGCAGGAACACCGTTGAAGCTGGGTAGGACAATATCCGCTGGGAGGCGATGTTGGTTTGCAACCTCTTCTAGTCGCTGTGGGAGCAGCAGCCCCGCGTGCTTTCTCGGGTTGCAGCCCTGCCCGGTCCGCCCACCGGTACAAGAAGGTGTCACGCACTGCTGCGCGGCGGAGTGTCTTCTCACCGCCTGCCACGCATGTCCCGGCATGCAGAGAGAGCGTGTCAAGGATGCCATTACATTGCGGGCGCCACTTGTCCTCAGTTGCTTCCGGGACCGCCAGTCGGCGGCGTAGCTCGGCCACAAAAAGGGTACTGTCCATCTGAAGGAATGCGCGGGCTCCAGGTTCAGCTGTGCCTGCCACGATGCCTCATCTACCAAGTGCGTCAAACTGCTGCGTGCGAAAGGCAGTTCCAGGGGCCAAAGGGTGCTGCACACGCGCGTTGAAGAAAGCGGTCGCCTGTGTAACGGCCGGCTCCAGGACCACGGCAGCGGCAAGGTAGCACGGGTCCACGGGTCCAGTTGTTCACAAGCAAGGGCTGTGCTTCCTTTTGAAGCGAGGAAGGCAGCCGGGCTGTCCAAGTCGCGCTGCGAAGGCCAAGCCCAGCATGGCAGAGCCCCGGCTAGCTTGTTCACGTTGGGCGGAGTTCAGATGCAAGCCGGTGATGCTGGAGAACGCCGCGTGAACCATGGAATCGAACTTTTGTAGTGGGTCCAAATGGCTTGCCGGCGGCGTGCATCGCATGCTGTGCATCACCCTTCCATATCTCGCGCTTGTACGCAGCAAACGGACGCCAACCTGTGCGTCTTGAAGGCTGGACAGTTGGTCCAACAAAGGGGTCACAGCTTGAACCCGGCACTCCGTATGGGCCGGCGCTCCATAAGCTCTCCCCCTCGCGCTCGACTGTGGGTGATGGCTGCGCCCACCGCGGCAATGTCCCCTGCTATGACTCCATCATTCAAGTAGAATACTGCCAGGTCCAGGGCCCAGATTTCAGTTCTGTGGTCAAAGCATGGATCGCTGTCGAGAAGAGTAGCGGCCCGAGAGGGTCCCCATTGCCATGCTGAACACCGCCTGCTGAAGGGATGTGGGAAGAGCCAAAGCAAAAGGAGGAGGGACGTTGGTAGCACCAAGTCACCCAGCGACTGACGCTGGGGAAGTTGGAGGCTGCCATCTCCAAAACTGCTCTCCGAGAGATGCGGTTGAAGGCATTTGCAAAATCCAGTTTGGCTAGCACCTTGCCGTGCGTTGAGCGGCGCCGTAACGTCCATGCCTGAATAGCGACCTCAACCCCGGACTTGACCCCCACACCCAGCTGAGTTGGCCAGAGCATGCGGCGGGCGTCCTCTTGCACAGTTTGCATTTTGCATCAAGTATTTCGTGGTGAGTCGGCGGAAGACTTCACCGATGGCAATGAATCGGACTCCGCCGTTTGGCTTTGGGACAGCAACCAGGCCGGCTCCGGCAAGAACTGGCGCGACTGCAGGGCAGGCCCGCCCCTGCGCAAGCAGGTTCACCAGCTTCGTACGGTGCTGTGGGCCATGCCGGGCGGCCCTGCCTCACGTAAGTGTTGCACTCGTAGCCGAGAAGGACCGGGCGCTGCGTCGGCAGGAAAGCTGCGTAAGGCCCTTGCGACGCAGCCTTCCGGGAGCTCATCTGCCAAAGGGAGGGCAGCCAAGTCGGCAGTGGGGGACTGTTGGACTGGGCGCAAAGCTCGGAGGGCTGCTGCGGTGTCCCCATTTTCTTCGCCAAAGCCCTGTCTGGAGGAGGGCATTGCGCGCCTTCCGATCGAAGCCTTCGCGGGCAAGACTGAGAGCCAGCTCACGCCGCTGTGCCTCCTTCAAAGGCTTCCGGCCCACGAGGGGTAGCTGGCTGTCCTCCCAGAGACTGCGTCGTTCGCCGTCTGTCCACCGCCGCAAGCGATCGAGGTTATATGCGGCAGCAGCTCGGCGGTGGCGGCGGCCAGCGCGGAGAGGGGCCCCCAGCACACACTGAGACAGCATCAGTAGCTCGGTCCACGCCTTGGGGGGCACGGAGGCGGAAGCCAGCGTTGATGCAAGACTGTTCTGAGGTGCTTGCGCTCCCGTCGGCCAAGACAGGGCAGGTCAAGGTCCGCTGGGCGGTGGGGGCACGAGCCAGCACAGACCGCCCAAAGTTCCGGAGGTGGTTCCAAAGCACGTTCCTCACGCTAGTGTCATACTGGCAAGGGTCACACTAACACGCTAAAAACGTTGTCACACTGAGATGCGAAACTGGGGTCATGCTGTCGTGCTAACTTGCTGGCTGGCTCCAAGGCCGGTTTCGGAAAAGGTCCATGAATTTTGGTTTGTTGCGATGGTGTCATGCTTTTATGGCGCATTGAAAAGGTTCACATTCACACTTTTGAAAAACGGCAGTGTCTAACGAACACACACCACTTGTTAATAGACTTGCAAATATCGCAAATGTACAGTATTGACAAATGCCAAATGTTGTCATTGCTTAACCAGCAAATTCAAGCCCAGCGGTTGGGGATTCTTCTTCGGCTTATATATGTTGTGCTTCACACAGAACAGGCCCTTCTGGATTTTGCGAAGGCACTGTCTTGCTGCTGAGGCAGGCTCGAGAATAAAGGAAAAAAACTGTGATCCATGGAATCTGGTTAAAGTATGCATCTATCGAATCTCAGACAGCACTGTCCAAACAATTTGAACGGAGCTCAAAAATCATCTGACATTGAATTTTGAGTAGGGAGTTCAGATGTTGAAACATCTGAACTCTCCTCCCCCACACTAATACTCTTATATATGTAAAGTCTTAGAGTCTTAAGGTAAACAGAGTGTCCAACTGGAACGCTGAGCGCCTCAACTGCCAGGAGGTACCAGGCATGGTGAGCTTCTCTGGATCCGACCGCCTCAAACACCAGAGCTTCAGCTTTCGCACAATGGCGATCTGAAATGGGCTTCAGCTTCAGCGTTTTAGTCCACGAGTGGTTGTCAATTGGCTAATGACAAGTGACAAGGAGACAGCTGGAGATCCTATGTGTACATTCCCTACTAGGAACAAGTGCATCGCTACTAGGAGATATCCCTTGCCTTAGGACCACCCGGGGACCACCCACCTCAAAAATAATAAACAATTATTTTGAGGTGGTCACACCACCTCTGTTGTAAATATTCTTGGGGGTGTCAGACCCTCTCAAATAATTTGACAAGTTTTTTTGTTTTTTATAAGACATCCAAACTTGGAAGATTTGGAAGATGCTGAGGGGGGGGGGGTCCTGGGGAATTTGTTTCCAACAGCCAAAAAGCATGAAAATATATAAGCAGTCATTGACAAGCGCACCACCAGCAAAATAATTTTTCTCGCGAAAGGCCAGAAATTGCCAGATGGTCTCTATCTAAACCCCAACACGTCCTTTGGACGCAACCGGACGCAACGTCCCGAAAAGCCCCAAGGAGATCTTCAAGATCTCAGATTCACAGGAATCACATGGAATCATTTTGATTCACTTTGCCCCTTTCGCCTCAGTCACTTTCAAAGCAGAAGGGGCCAGGTAGTGCACGTGCCCAAGCCACCGCTTGAAAAGAGAAGGTGGCTGTCCATATGTTGGCGCAGCTGCCTGCAAATCAAGCTTCACCAGCCGCCCCATCGGCATGGTTTTCTGGGCGGCGGTAAGATTCACCTTGGCAAATTTCTGCAAATAGTGCTCTGGAAGCCGGGCTCGCAGCTCTTTCAAGGAAACCTCTTCAGCCTTCAAGCTGGGGCCAACCACTTCAAGTTTGTCTCCATGAACAATCTTGGAAAAGATCTTCTGGTAATCTGCCAACATCCCATCAAAGACCTTGAGGATGTTGACCCTGCCCTTCTCCGTGTGTGGTTTCAACTCGTTCTCTGTCAAGTAGTTCACCTCTGGGGCAGTGGTCTTCTCTGCAAAAGGAGTTCCTGACACAACGGCTGCCTTGTAAGCTTCCAGCGCGGAATCCTGGAGGACAACTTTGATGTGGTTTGAAGTGAAGCTCACATCGATGTGCGACGGGTTGAACTCACAAAGGATTGACCCATCAGTAGCGTTCAACGTCGCCACAGGCGAACGGCGCCTCACAATTTAAAAAAATATGAAAAACAGTGACATCCTGATCAAAAACAAAAAATAGAAAAGATTGACCCCGATTTGCCAAATGCTCCGAAGCCACGTTCCGATGAATGTCTTGTCATCATCGCCGAAAGGCATGAGCAACTGGACTTGCACGGTGGTGATGAGGTGGGCTGGAAACTGCCCCGCCGCGACCAACTTCTGCTTACACAGCGAGCCAGACTTAGTCTTGGTGCCTCTCCAAACCTCCACTGGAACTGCAATCCGAAGGCCACCGCAGCTCGATGCATAGTTCCTCAATTCATCTCAATTCATCCAGGACATTCCAGGACCATCAAAGAAAGTCCAAACCTATCCAAATCTTCTCAAGACAAAAATGTTAAAAAAATGTTAAAAATATCAAAAAAAGATTCAGCGGGCGCACAATTAGCACTTGCGCAAGTCGGGTACCTGAAGAGTTGAAAGTGGTGCCGTTGAGGTAGCGGGTTGGCTCCATGACAGCGAAATCGGATGCAACCGGGCATTCCGCCTCAGTGATAGCGTCCTTCGCAACTCTCTTGGAGAAGCTTTGCCACAAGGAGAACCGTGACTGCCTCTGTGCGCTGCACTGAAAGCTTGCCCTGGCTTTTGCCACAGCGTGCTCATATGCCTGGTGTGCCTTGGCTCTCGTCTTGACCTTGAGAACGTCTGGCCAATTGAGCACACGCTCCTTGATGCGAACCAGTGCAACAAAGTGCCTGGTCTGATCCACAATGGCCCGGATCCGCTTCAAGCAACGCGACTCGTGGTCATCACCTTTGGGAATGTAGCCAGCAAAGTCAGTGGCCTTCAAGACATCCTCCAGTGTGAAGATGGTGTTGATCGACAGGTCTGTAAGGGTTGCTTCTGCGGCCTCCTCTGCGTCAGACTCGGGCTCTGCTACTGTAGAACTCTCCAAGTGCTCATCGACATTGAGCTCACATGTGTCATCCGCTCCAACGAAGTTGGGGTCCTCAGCGAATTTGGAAAGCTCTTCCTCAATCAGCAGGCCCTTCTCTGTGATCTCCACATCATCAACCAAGGTGGCTTCTTCCTCAGACAGCTTCTTCTCGTTCTTCCCTTCCACCTTTGCCGGACCATTTCCCTCCTCCTCCTCCTCGTCGCTCTCGTCATCGCCACCCTCAGCCATATCCTCTGCCATCTTGAGCAGCAGTTCCCGCC